ACTTTGTATCAAAAAGTGTAAAGTTATATAAGCTTATGATTTTGCTTTGTTTTAAAAATGAATCGATGTTGGTTCCATATGCTTGAATTGAATATTACACCTTAGTTCTATATATATTTTATTGCTTAAAAGGGAACACAACAAAACAAAAAATAAACTACAATTGCAAAATGATTTGATAACTAACTAATAAAAAAAATAAAAATAATAAAATAATAAAAATGATGATGATAAAAATTGAAAATGTCTGCCAGAAAAATGCTTCTATGAATTAAAAAATAATTATAATTGCAAACTTAACATATAAACTTCAAACACAACTATTAATAAATTAAATGACATAAAAATTCCTTTAGCGTCAAACATTTGCTGAGCTTTTGAAGAGGAGTCTCTTTAATTTGAAACAAAGAAAGATAGACTGGCACAGAGTAGTCATGCTATAAACCTAACAGCTACACAGTGTCATGCTATCTTCCTTAGCTTCAGATAAAGGAGACTTCTACGAAAGCTCAGCTCGTTTTGTGTTCGTTTACCATCCAAATATAGGTCCTCACGGAATTTTGATTGTGTGTGTTATCCCTTATTTTAAATATTGATTATTAAATAGTATTTAATATAGGAAATGATATCTGAAAGAAGTCCTCCCTATACAATATAAATGTATAGAACCAATACAATTATTAAATGAGGGGGTCGGTGGAAGGATGGTCTAAACCGTTAGTTTTCGACCGCTACTATCCGGGTTCGATTCCCGCATTGGACACTTTTTTCTGTTAAAAAAGAAATGCTCTAATGGCCCCCGATTCTTGTAAAAGTCCAACCCCACCAGCGAGTGCAAGTAACCAAACGGGAGCTCTGGCACATTTGTAAGTGAAAAATCGAACTGATTTTCACATGTGTAGACATGTGGTGCACTTACAGTAAGAGCAGTCGTCAACCTCTACCCACCATGATCACCATGGCCTGTACCACGTGTACTAGGGATAAGCAAAAACTATGTATACATATATTAAATTGGTAAAAGCGAGGATGATCTCTACGTAGAATGATCTCATATTCGGATAACTCAACAAATCCCAAATATAATTTTACTAGCCGAATGACCCGGGCAACGCCCGTGTTTTAAATCAGACACGTGGACCTGTTGGATCATTATCGCCCGTGTTTTACCCGATTGGATGTTTTTATTCAAATACTATTTGTTACAATTATAAATTGGCGCCTTAAATGAATGCATATATTTGTTAATAACTATAGCCTATGTGCTTTATCTGTCTATGTACTGTTGGCTTCCGTAGGCGTCTCTTACTGGGGCGTCTCTTACATGTCCAACACAATAGTTACAAAACCCAAAAAGCGAGTGGGGGGGGGGGGGGGGGGGGGCAAGGTGTCTCGCGCTATGGCGGCGCCATCGTAGCGAACCAATAGGAGAGCGCCATTCCAAAAAAAAAAAAGCAAACGGTGACAGAGATGAAGAACGCATGACGCTCGTAACTGTATATAGAATACCTTTATTTTAGAATATACCGATGATAACGTTGTCGTTTATTCAATCATCAATCCATTTTGGCGTTTTCCGCTCAGCGATCAGGTAAATGCATCTATTAAAAAGGGAGAGATGCCCTTTTTTGCGCATAAATACCATCTCCTCCGCTTCTTCTTTAATTTAATATTTTCAATATTATTTTAAAAACAATTAGTAATAATTTGAACGCTTTTCCATATAAAATCACTTAGCTACAAACACTCGCAATCTATTTTACCACATATTATCCTATTTATAAAAAAAGAACTATAAAATAATATGTAAAAATATTTTTGAAAAACATTTCCCTTTATAAATAATATATTTCATATTTCATAGAACATAAAAAGAACTATGTAAACACATACA